ATAGGGTACATGTCACGGATACCCGAGGTCCTCAGAATATCCTTGGGTAGCTACTACCCTTAATCGGACAAGTGGTATGCATACAGGCGAAAAGTTGATATGTGTAGCGTATATATAACCATGAGGTCTCTAATGCCCATGGCTTTGCCGGCAATATCTGCCTCACGCCAATACCTGAGGCACCATCGTCAGTGGTATAGGTGATTTTAGTTTTACTGATTGAATGTACATTACCTGTATATGTTTTTCTTTATATCTTCTGAACGACATGTACTAATTGGATAGTATACCATTGATTGATTGTCTTTTTACCATGTTTCCATATGTCTGCTACTTTTTAATCAAAATAAATTAAATTATTTTAGCAATAATCTTCAATTGCGTTTCAGATATTCACAAAGTCTATCCACCTTTGTAATTAACACATTATGTGTTTATTTTATACCATTAATTATAGTATCTCTATTATATTACACATCGTCACTGACACATTTCTGATACAGGGAAAAAAAATAGCATGATTGCTTTAGTAATTATAATTTTTCTGTCCATGCACCACATTCCTGGAAGTCCAGAATATAGTCAGAATCCTTTGTCGTTTGAGTCTATGGAGCCAATTAACGTTTTCATTGGTCTAGTTATACCAAAAGAGCAAGGAGTACATCGGTAGATCACATCTGCAACAGAACCATTACAGATTCCTTGTTGTATCAATGTCTCTGTGTTTATGTTTACAGGAGTTCCTTGCTTTGCAGGTATGTACATAATATGTAGAGTTTAAGAAAAGCTGCAAATCGTGCTTTAGTACAAGTGTCCCATGATGTCAGGTTTCTGAAAGATTTTGCTGGCCTTTTATAATCCATTCTATTGGCAGGGCATCTGCTCTTAGTAAGCAGGTCTTATTATTTATTAATTGCATCAAGGTTTCTTTTGTTAATTGATGTGTTTCTTCCAAATTCAAATTCATATGCCACCAAATGTCATTGTAAAGTTCATTGTTGCAGAATATTATTCCAGGATGGTTTTTCACCCCAGTAGGAAATCTATATTCCTCTTCTTCTGCTCCTTCCTATTAACCACTTTTTCTGAGTTGTGGGCAACGATCTGTGTCTTGTACTGTGAGGTGCTTTGATAGTCAATCAGGTTTTCTCAGTACCATGTTCCATCTTGAGAATCAGCTGGGTGTTGACAGTTATCAGCCTTTATTTCTTTTTCCGGTCATCTTCTGTCTGGAAACATAATAGCAATGTCCAGAATTAGCATAGCACTTCTTTTCAGCATAAGAAGGCTGTTTGCGGTAGTCATTCAATGATAAACTATATGGCAAAGTATTTTCTTAATCACCTTCATAGGTGCATAAAAAGTCTTTCACAAGCATCTGTCTCGTCTTTTTCTGTTTTCAGCATGCTTTGCCATCATCGTTGAGTCCATTATTAGGATTGGTAATAGTCCAATCACATCTTTCTCGTGTATAATCGGTTTTTAGAATGATCTCAATAGGTTCCTTGTGAAATACCAGTGTAGGTCACAGCAATCATTTCACTGTGAGCTGTGTCTCTCCTTTCAAGATGGTTCTTGGAGGTAGACCTCACGATCACAGAACTTGTATAGTGTGCAGTCCGATTCAGTTCAGGCAGGGGCGTACCTAGAGCATTTGGCACCCGGGGTGGACCCTGAGTGTGCCCCCCCCCCATAATAAAAATGTAAGAAAACACCCACAATTTTTTCAATGTTTTCAATAATATTTATTTCACAAATTTGTTAACTGTATATCAACTTGAAAAAAAATGGAACTATGAAAAATAATTTAACTTAGAAATAAATAAAATTTAAATAATTAACATTTACTTAATACACCCCCCATAATTAATCCACCCCCCATAATTAATACACCCCCCATAATTAATACTCCCCCCATAATTAATACACCACCCCATAATTAATACACCCCCAT